GCTCAGCACTGGGGCTGATGTCTGGGCTGCTCTCTCCTCCCCGGCAGCGCCCCGAGGGAAGCGCGGCTGGAAGCCCTTCCACGCCATCCTGAAGGGGATGATTCTCTACCTGCAGAAGGTAGGCAGCAGTGGGGCCGCTTGCGTCCGTGCCAGGGAGAGGGATCGCCCCCAACCCAGGGAGGGAGGGCACTGTGGTCCCAATAGCGGCGCGAGAGGGGCTCGCATGTATCCCAAAGCCTGTCCTAACCGGAGTCAGCACTATGCCTGCTTAAAACATTGCCTGGGGATCTGGTGGCATCTATGTTCCTGGCATGCTTGGACTCGGACTGGGTGGTGAAAGTGGCTGGGGACTGAGAGCCCTGCATGTGGGGGCTTGGCTGGGGAGAGAGGAGGCATTGGGGTCTTTGCCCTGGGGGATGTTGGGCTGCAAATCCAGTCTCCTGCAGGCACACACTGCCCAGCTGCAGGGCAGTGGAGAACACCCACCGTGCTGTTGCCAGGCCTGTGCAGCTTCTCCCCATGGGTCTAGCTGGAGGCAGATTGTGCAGCAGCCTGGTGGTGGGTGATCTCCAAACCCCACCACTGCCAGCACTTGCTGGCAGTCCCTGTGGCCTTGTAGAGCTGACTCATGGTGGGGTGCATCCCTAAACGGGCTCTGAAACACCTTGTGACTGGCAGGAGGAGTATAAGCCGGGGAAGGCGCTGGCAGAAGAGGAGCTGAAGAACGCTATTAGCATCCACCATTCGCTTGCCACACGGGCATCTGACTACAGCAAGCGACCCAACGTCTTCTACCTCAGGACAGCTGACTGGAGGATCTTCCTCTTCCAAGCACAGTGAGTCTCCCAGGATCACTGGCTGGTCCCCATGCTGGGGCTCAGGGAATCATCCGACTGGGGCAGAGGGTGGCATGGGGCTTAAGGCCACATTGCTTTCTCCTGTTCTGGCCCTTTCTGGAAGGAAAGGGACCTGGTGCCAGCACTGTGCTTTGCCCCAGCTCTTCCCACCCTGATAGGCTTGCGATGGCCAGGCCTGGAGGACCTGGATCTCACCTGCAAGGCAGGTCCCTCTCCCTGTGACATGGATAATGCCACTTAGAGCCCGCCTCTGGTTTTGCTTTTCTCCCCAGGAACCCCGAACAGATGCACTCGTGGATCACGCGCATCAACGTGGTGGCAGCCATGTTCTCCGCGCCACCCTTCCCTGCAGCCATTGGCTCCCAGAAGAAGTTCAGCCGCCCGCTGCTGCCCAGCTCCTGCACCAGGCTGTCACAGGTGGGCCATGGCATGGGGGCAGCCGGGAGCATGGGAAAGACCCCTGGGTCTGCTGGTGGCACTGTCCCTTGTGGAGTGACCCGTGTGGTGCCACATGCCCAGCTGCAGGCAGCAAGGTCTTGTTCCTGGCAGCGGGGACGGGAGACAGGCGATGGAGTCAGACTGTGAAGGAGAACGTGGTCCCACACCACAGCTTGCAGGGTCGTGCGAGGGCCAGGACCTGGAAAGGCAACTAGCTGGGGGGATTAGCTGGCACTAGCGCGTGCCAGGGCAGTCATTCATAGGGCAGAAAGGATTAAAAAAAACCACCATCCTAGTTTTTGCAGGGATTAAATTCTTCTGCTTTATGACTGCAGCCAGTGCCCCCGCCCCGGGGCGGGAGCAGATTGCCCCCAATGGCCTGTGCTTTTGCCGGCCACTTGAAAAAATACCCAGACAATCTAACCCAAAGCCATTAGCAGAACCTGAGATCCCAGTTGGATCTAGCAGGGGAAAAACCTGTTCTGGCCCCAGCCGGCTCACACTGCTGGGGGGGGGGCAGAGCAGGGGGCAGAGCAGGACACTGACATGTGCTACCCTTCCCCAGGAGGAGCAGGTGAAGAGCCATGAGACCAAGTTCAAGACGATGTCAGCAGAGCTGCTGGAGCATCGCTCCTCACTGCCTGAGAAGAAGGTGAAGGGAAAGGAGTACGAGGAGCTGAAGCAGAAGGAAGAGTACCTGGAGTTTGAGGTGAGCTGGGACAGCCCCTCTCCC